CCTGAAGTAAAGTGGGAGAATAAAAAGTCAGATCAGAATTGTATGAACTACTCCATTAAAAACCCAGCAGTTAAATGTACTGGAATTCGACTTAATTTTCATTTTATATTGAGAGTTGTTTATCTCAACAAGTGTATCCCCTGAATTCTAGACACCCGGTTCAACTGATCTCCTAACCAGAAGTCAAACTACCAAAATTATATAACTGACAAGAGTACTAGGAACGTGTAACTTCAAGAATAAGACTAAATTGTTACTTTATATTCCCATGCAAGACAAATTCATCACAAGAAGAGGCGCCACTAATTCCTTATATACATACCAGTATTCAAGTGAGAATTTGTCACGTTTCCTTTTTTGGAAGCATTATGAAATAGGTTCCATCCCACTATTATGTTTGCACTTAGAAGCAGTAATGAGACTTTCAGATGTCGCAATCTAGTCCAACCAAATCACTTGTTTGGTTACTGATTGTTTTATTATCTGACGAAAATAATAATTTTTTACACTTCGATTGTTTCCAACGCTTGAGCTACTCAATAAATAAACTAAGTAGCAAAGTACGGAACTTGAGAAAAATTCTGAAAGAAGGCGTGAGCCATGCAAAATTATTACTTGAAGTATACTAGGAGATTGAATGCTGTTGAAGTTTGTAGTAGTTGTTACGGATGGATAGTTTTCTCCCTTTTGTATCTGAAATAAACTTTTTTGCATGATCTACACATCTGTGTATACAGGATGTAACTGAATAAGTGTATGTTAAGGAGGTGATTCCTCATCGAAAAAAAGATAGGATCTTTCATATAAAGAAATTTCATTGGAGCACCCCTTGTTAAGATACAGCCCCTTGAAGGGGGTACATAAAATTTGTATAACAATTTTTTTCACAGACACTGAAAAAGTTACAATATTGAAATTGACCTGACGTTTTGTACTACCAAAAAGACACTTAGCCAGTAATTTATTGGTTTACCCCATGGTTGTAAGGGGTGGAAAACGCAACCCCTAAAATTCATTTTCAATGTAACTTTGTGTCTTATTATTTGTTTATTTTATTTATTTTGTATTACGGAGAAGAAGAATGCCAAAAGGATTTCGACGAAATGTATTACACAACTTCCAACTTTGGCATGTTGCCTCTGAACTCATTTATTCATCCAATCGCGAGCATTGAAAATTTAGTCTAACGTATACAGTGGATAAATCCATATGGAAACTAATGTGAGAAAAACTATCAATTGAGATAAAGATCTATTAGTTTTATCAGAAAAAAAGTCTCTGTTGGAAAATTGTTGTCCACTGTACATAATTTTGAATGAAGTTACCACCACTGAATTGTTTTGGATGTTTAGTAGCAGTAAATGTGTGAACAAAAAAGACAATGCCACAGGTGATGGATCATTCCAGTTTAAATCACTATTATTAGGTTTTCGGACGATGATTTGTGGAACGTGCGGAGGGGCGTTGTCGTGCAGCAGGATCGGACCTCCTCCTGTAGAGCACAATAGGACTCTGATGTAATGGTTTGGCTCGGTTGCAGATAGTTATATTGAATCACACCTGCTGCTGACCACTATAGAGTAACCATGCTCTTTTTTTGTGTGGATTTTCGCTTTTGGTGGGTGCCAGAATGGCTCATTGGTGTCCAACCATCATAGTCCTGCTGTCGCAGAACTTTTCATCACACGATCCGATCCAAAATAGAATCGTTTTGGTTGCGCAAAAGCAATCTCAACCATTCAAATCATGAGGCACCCAGTTTTCGAGCTTATTGCCCTTTCCAATACGTTTCAAACCATCAAAATCCGCATGGGAACTGACGCCCAGATCTTAGCCATCCCACGGACCGTTTGTGATGAGTCAGTCTCCACCAGAGTCTTCTAATACTCGTCCTGAAATACTATAGGACAACCACTTCGGGGCTGTCTGTCTGTACAGTAGGGAGGGTGAGTGTAGGTCTATAGCACTTAGGCCACATGTGATCCAATGTACATCCTCCCGAGGAGTTGTCCTCCTAGGTCATCGTCCATCCTGCCCTTTCCAGGTAGGTGGACAGGTCACTGGGAGGCATATCATTTATATCGGCAGAGTCGTCAGCAAATTGTACTGTACAATGTTGACGATTGCTGTTGTTGAGGTCGTGTGCGAATAAAAGAAAGAGCATAGGTCCTAGGACGCTACCCTGGGGAACACCGGTGGGAACGACACAGGTTGTAGGGTAGAGGGTCCCAGCCTCCAGTTTAACCCTCACAGTTTGCGTTCTGCAATACAGATAAGATCTCAACCTATCCAGAGATGAGCCACGAATTTCTAGACACAACAGCTTGCTCAAAAGTAAATCGTGATCAACAATGTCGAAAGCTTGGAACAAGTCGAATAGAAACACTTATCGTTTTTTCATCTCTATCGAGATTAGAAATGTGGATATTATATGTTTGGACCAAGTTAAGTCAGTATTAATAGTCACTCCCAAGTCTACATGTGAGGACACTGTACGTAACGATTGACCGCTTATTGTGTACTTATGGAGTGGATTGTTCTTTCCTTGATGTCTTTCTTGATGTGATCCTTGCATCACTGACTAATCGAGTTGAGGTCTTCTTGAAGGGAATGATGTTCGACTAAGGCATTTCCATACAGTTTAGTATCATCGGCATCAAACGACTTGCTGGACTTTATGTGAAGAGCAAGATCACTTGCATGAACATCGAAGAGGAGCGGGCCAAGAATAGGTCCCTGGGGAACTCCACTTGTGACTTGTCTGTGCGAAGAAAAAGAGTGACCGGCTTTGACCGTGAAAGTTCTATCTGTCATGTAATTTCCAATCCATAGGTTTAGTTGGCCTCGAATATCGTGTATGTCAAGTTTGTGCACCATATGGTGAAGGGCCGAATCAGTAGGCATTCCTGAAGGTGAAGCTGAAAAAGGCAAAACCTTAAAATTTTGAAAAAAATGAACAGCATCAAGGTATAGTGTATACAGTACACAAATACAAAAATAACATTAATTATTTCAAATTTCGCGACAATATTGATGAAAAAAAATAAAATGAAACGTTTATAATTGATAAAGTAACCATTGGAGTATGAATTCTTCAGATTAAAAAATCTCTAATAGCCTCGTTGATACCTCTTAGCACGAGACTGTTTCGTATTAAAAATAACCCAAGATTTATATTTTTGGATTGAAAACACTAATAAAATCTCTGCCTATTTCTCTTGTCACCAAATTGCGTTGGATCAATTTACGAATTTACCATTTACCATGATATTTTAATAGATTATACAGTGCGGACGGGAAAAGTCCTTCCTCTTTTAAATTTTGAACGAGACACTATATGAATGTCCGTCGAAATTCATCTAAATAGGTATCATCTTCAGTACTTTTTGATATGAGAGATAGAAAAATAATTTATTCAACTAGGAAACATAATGTTTGTAGTCGGTCAGAGGGATGGGTTAACAAACACTCAAGACATTAAAAAACGAAATGTATGTAAAACAATAATGAATATAGCACAAACAAATAATTTAACTAATTTAACGTGTCGTCTAGTTGGATTCGCACTAAATTTACGAAACTTACAGTTCATGTATTATTATTACTGCAGACTATAATAGTTTGAGTTTTCACTCTATTCAGCTTAAGCTTGTTGTTAGCTTTAATTTGTTGTTAGCTTAACCTTCAATTTGGTGGATGTAGTGAGAAATAGGTAGCATCATCCGCATGTTACACCATATCATAAGGGTATATGTAAAAGAACAGGTCATTAACGTATATGATCAATAAGAGTGGCCCCAAGACAGACCCCTGTGGGACACCATGTGAATTTTCCCGTATTTCCGGTTTGCCGTTCTTTGAAGATACATATTGTGTCTTACCGGTGGTCAGAAATGTTTTTCGAGGAGTAGCTCAGGAGGGACACAATCAAAAGCTTTCATAAGGTGACACAAAATTAAAGCAAACAAACGAATAATATCATAATTTGGAGGAAAAATGTATTCGCTAATCATCCCAATTCATTTAAACAAATGCTTAAAGTGTTCATTCACCATACATTTCCTGGCAACACTGACGTTTGTTTGCCAATTAATTTCTCTCTTAATGGTAGTATAACGTATACTTTAGGTTCCACTAAACCCCACAAAAATATCCAACGGCGTCATATCAGGCGATCTAGCGAACCAGTCTAAAGGACCAAGTTTGCTTATCCACCGTTTTGGATAACTCTCATCTAGATACTTTCGACTATGAGGAGGCACCTCATTTTACTGAAACGTACCATCAGTTGAAGACTCATTTGGTTATGTTACTCATCCAAACTAGTTGATAGATACATGTAATTCCTTAGAATGGCCCAGTAGATCACCTGATATAACGCTTCTTGATATTTTGAGGAGGTATGAGAAATCTGAGGCATGTAATACACAACCGCATATTTCAGAATTTGTAGAAAAAAGATCAGTTGCTTGGAACGAAATCACCTCTGAAACATTTGTTTGAATACGGGATGCGAGACTTGTTTGAATACGGACCTGTTTTGTAATATACAGCTGAATTTGTTATTACAGTGACTATAAAAATCGATAGATAAAACTAGAGGTCCGCATTTAAATAATAAAGTTGATGATGAAATGTAATGGACGAAACGTCGCAATGCAAATTGATTCACATCATATTATTACAAATATGAAACAGGCAGTTCCTCTGCCTTTTTTGTATCATTCAAAATGGACGCGGTCGACGCAAAAAAAATCTTCGACAATCCTAGTTTTTGGCGAAAATTTCAAACAAATTCAATAATATTCTCGATCTGTAAAAAGATTATTTCAATTCCCCAAAATAGAAAACTTCTGTTCATTACCCGATCTTGTATGTAATTTCTTTTTCGAAATAGCAATAGTGGGGTCAGTTTGTCAGCTAAAGAAAGGCTTGTATTTCAATGTTCATATAATACCATAATATGAGTTCTCCGTCCTTTATTTTACGTTTTTTTGCAGATATTTCTACTTCAGATGAAAAACATTTTTTCAAAAGGCGGGAAGGAGAAAAAAGCGACAGGAGAGGTGAGTCGAAAATATTATTTTTCTACACCCGTACTCTAACAATATACTTATATGACCATAATCCGTTTCATAATGATATCCATTATGATACAGATTTTTCATAACGATACAGATTATCAACCAATAGAAACCCATAATTTTTCAATCAAGAATCCTGTTCCTTTGTTTGTCCTAGATTCTAACCTAAGTAACTAATTGCTTTATTTGTCAAAATCAGT